TAAGAGTTATGTCTGAATATTAAACATATTGAGTTAAGTAACAAGATTATTACTAATCATGTAAGAGTTATGTCTGAATATTAAACATATTGAGTTAAGTTACAAAATTATTACTGATCATGTAAGAGTTATGTCTGAATATTAAACATATTGAGTTAAGTTACAAAATTATTACTAATCATGTAAGAGTTATGTCTGAATATTAAACATATTGAGTTAAGTTACAAAAATTATTACTAATCATGTAAGAGTTATGTCTGAATATTAAACATATTGAGTTAAGTTACAAAATTATTACTGATCATGTAAGAGTTATGTCTGAATATTAAACATATTGAGTTAAGTTACAAAATTATTACTAATGATGTAAGAGCTATGTCTGAATATTAAACTATACCTGAAAGCGTGCGTCATGGACACGGAAAAATACTGAAATATTTTAATACAAAAGAAGTGACTTAAGAAAGAAATACAATAACGAGTTATAGGTCGCATAGCGTTGATGTATAAAATATCGGGTAACTGTAAACTAATATAACGTATAATATATAAACTATGATATATGATTCACGCAGTTTAAAAAATAGAAAGTCTTCAAACAAATGTTTCTGTTTAAAAACGTAATTAATTTAAAATTATATTGCTGATGACAAGTTTGACAGGGTAAAATAATGGACATATTTCTGAATCTTGTTATCTATAAACATGGAAATAATTAAAACATCATTTGCCGAAATTAAATACTTTTTGAGTTCAATCTTCTTTAAGCCAAGGATAGCATAATTATTAGCGTGCCGGACTATGGATCCGAGGTTCATGTCCCGTTGTCGAAAAAATCGTGTTTCGCTGTTTGAGGCAGTGGATGTGGTATTAGTTTCACGGTGAAATATACCCATGATGTTCAAGAATTTAGTTTAACACAAAAGTGGTTTCCCAAGTTGCCCTTGAAGAAGAAAGGTTCATCATTCGAAATCATTCGGGTTATAAATTATTGTATTGTAGGGTAAAATATATCTATATTCGAGTAGATTATTCCTAGAGTTCGCGGTAAGTTTTGATTGTCTTCCTTTCTCTAGGCTATCAGAGACCTCTTGTTTAGCTTTCCGTGAATACCCGAAACAAACAATCAAATCAATAAAGCTTTGGATTTCATGTAGTAAGTATGTTATAATGTAGTTCTCATTTAATAAAAAATTTGATGAAAACTTCCACTTCAGCACTCAGTTTTTTTTATGTTAGGTAGGTTTAGAAGTTAATATTATTTTATTTTATTGAATAGATAAATAAGGAATACTATTTACGGAAACTTATAATTATTCATGAGAAACTCTGTAAGGCTCTCGTCAAATTACATTTCCTAATCACGGAAACTTATAATTATTCATGAGAAACTTTGTAAGGCTCTCGTCAAATTACATTTCCTAATCACGGAAACTTATAATTATTCATGAGAAACTTTGAAAGGTTCTCGTCAAATTACATTTCCTAATCACGGAAACTTATAATTATTCATGAGAAACTCTGTAAGGCTCTCGTCAAATTACATTTCCTAATCACGGAAACTTATAATTATTCATGAGAAACTCTCTAAGGCTCTCGTCAAATTACATTTCCTAATCACGGAAACTTATAATTATTCATGAGAAACTCTGTAAGGCTCTCGTCAAATTACATTTCCTAATCAGCTATCGCTTTGCTTTAATTTGTTAATCAGAATTCATATTATGTTGTTTTTTATATTTGTTCTTTCAAATAAAATTAATACTTAATATGAAAACGAAATATGTCTATGCAGGGATTACAACAGCTTATTACAGATAAGTTATGTTACATTAGACATTTTCCTTGTATGCTGTAGAGATTACTTTTACATTCATTTTCTGGGCAAAAGTGTTTGAAGGATCATTTTGAAAGGTTAAATTAATACAAGATGGGGATAAATAGTACAAAACTCTAACTCAAATTGTATGATATGTTACATTCAAACAAGTTTTTAAGCTTGCATCTCCGTGATATGAAGAACTACAAAAAAGATAAAGCCACCATCGATGCTATTTGTATAAATTTAAAATACGAAGATAGGTAAAGTTTAATGACATTCACAGTATAATATGTACGAAGATAGGTAAAGTTTAATGACATTCACAGTATAATATGTACGAAGATAGGTAAACTTTAATGACATTCACAGTATAATATGTACGAAGATAGGTAAAGTTTAATGACATTCACAGTATAATATGTACGAAGATAGGTAAAGTTTAATGACATTCACAGTATAATATGTACGAAGATAGGTAAAGTTTAATGACATTCACAGTATAATATGTACGAAGATAGGTAAAGTTTAATGACATTCACAGTATAATATGTACGAAGATAGGTAAAGTTTAATGACATTCACAGTATAATAT